TTCATGAAACTTTATTTTATTTATTTATTTATTTAAATTTGAGGAGAGAGGGACAGAGTGGGGTGGGGGGAGTGAGAAAGCAAGCTGCTAGGTCTGGGACTCGGACCGTGGTTGTCCATGTGGGAGTCCGGCACCCTTAACTACCACACCACCTGCTGGCCCCAATAAATGTTTCTTAAATCATTTCATTCATATGTGGAGGGCGGTGTTGAGGCAGCGTAGGGCTAGATGGCAGCTCCATGAGTACGCAGGGCCCAGGCCACTTACAGTATTGCCAGACGAATTGCCAGATGCTCAGTCAACGTGAACTTCAGATAATCAATGGATAATTTTTTAAATAAATGTGTCCAAATATTGCATAGGACATATTTCTATTAAAACAAACTCTCATTTATCTGAGATTCAAATTAAACTAGTGTTTTAGGTGTTTTCATTCGTCTATTTGCTTATTTGTTTATTTCATATTTTGTTCTTTTCCTTCTCTCTCTCTCTGTCTTCCTCTCCCACCTGATGAGTTATCCTTCCTACCTTGCCATACTTATCCCTGGCTTTTATTATCAAAATGATCTCAGAGTCACAAGATGGCTGCTGGAGTTCCAGCCATCACATTTATGACTTAGAAAAGCAGAAAGATGAAGGTGGGAGGGACAGAAGGACATCTGTCTCCCATCTGAGTCAGCCTCTCTTAAAGAGATTTCCTCCATGAAATATGGGCTGACTCTCTGGTAATAACAAGGAATCATAGATTATGATGTCAGGTGTGATAGGTATCGTGAACATACAAGAAAATCTTCCTTTTTGGAGAGGCATCCTGAAAAATTTACAGGTAAAATGTAATATCTGTAATTCATTTTTATTCACTTCCACCCCCCCCCAAAGAAAAGCAAATATGGCAAAACATTAACTGTTGTTAAATCTAATGATAGCTGTATATGGGTCCCCATTACCTTAGTCTTTCTCCCTTCTTTTTTCTTGAAAACTTTATTAATAAAAAATTTGGGGGGACCAGCAGATGGCATAATGGTTATGTCTCTGGACTCCCATATAGCCAACTGTGGTTTGAGTCCCAGACTTGGTGGCTTGTAAAATCACACGAGGCACAAGTGCATGCATGCCCAAAATCCCAGTAGGAGAAGGAAGGAGAAGGGATTGCTGTGTGGCCATCCTCCCAGTGGGGTGATTTCTCACTTTCCCTCTTACTGTGTCTGTCTGTCTGTGTCTCTCTGGTGAGCACACATGCCCTAAGGCAAAAAACTCTGGGGGGAAAAGAAGTTTTGGTTTTGCCTTTTTTTTTTTTTTTTTTTTTGGAAGAGATTACTATAGTCCTTTTCTAATATTCATTTTCTTCTCATTGGCTGCCCCTTGCAGAAATGGAGGCTGGTCAATGTAATCTTTTAGCTGGGCATTCTGATGCCTGGATGCAATCAAGAGAGGAAGGGTCAAGAATGGATGTCGGGCAGAAACTGCAGCCTCTACCCCGGCACGATTCCTTCACTCCTCTGTACAGCACAGAGAAGCCGGGGCCCCTAAAGCTCTGCTTTGCCTTCTTTGTTGGAACCAGCCTCCAACGGGTGCATTCAGGCTCCTAATATGATGTCTACCCTTAGCATGGTGACTAAGACATAGCCAACCCTTCACTCAATGGCCAGTGTTAAGAGGAGACCTGCCCAACCCCAAATCTGTACATTCCACAGCTTGTTCACCCTGTGTGATCTTTGCCAGGGTACTTAACCTCTCTGGAGTCCTGTGGCCACCTCTTTAAAGGGAAGTGAATAGCTTAACTCCTTCGCATTCTCACTGAGATGGGCTTAAATTTTCTGTTTCACAGGGCTGGGCTCACAGGGTGGAAGAAAATCCTTCAACAGAACACCATGTTCTGAGCTGTAGGCTCAGGTAAGACAACTTGGGCAACTTGCTTTGCTTTCTGCTTTGCTTTGTTTTTCACCTTGGTGCCCCAGCTGTCAACTAACCAGGGACTAGCAGGACCTATGTAGTGTCCAATGTATGTGACAAGACCTTGAAGCCATGGATCAATACATGCTCTACTGCATTCTGCATGTTGTCTCTTAGACGACCTGCTGGGAGGAGCTGGAGTGAGGGGTGGGAGTTATGAGTAGCGGGCTCTCTGTCCATCATCTGATGATGAATGGATAAATAAAGGGTGGTATATCCTTGCAATGGTGTATTATTTGGCCATTAAAGGAATGAAGGACTGATCCAGGTTACAAACAAGACAAACCTTGAAAATGTTATGCTAAATAAAAGAATCCAGTCAGAAAGGATCGCATATTGTTTGATTCTATTTACATGAATTGTCCAGAATGGGGAAATCTAAGGAGGCAGAAAGAAAATTAGTGATTGTCTAGGGGTAGAGGGTTGAGGGGAAACTGGGAGTCACTGCTAATGGGTACAGAATATGTTTCTGAGTGATTAAAAATTGACTATCGTTGGGACCAGCAGCTGGCATAACGGTTAGGTCACTGGACTCCCACGTAGTGGACCACAGTTCAAGTCCTGGACCCAGCAGCTTAAAATTCATGTCAAGTGTGTGTGCATGCGTGCTCAAAATCCTGAGAGGAGAGTGAAGGAGAAGGGACTGTAGTGTGACCATCTCCCATGAGTGTGTGTGTGTGAGGAGGGACGGTGATCTCTCGCTTTTTGTCTCTTTGTCTCTCTCTCTCTCTCTCTGGTGAGTGCCCCATAGCAAAAGTGCCCCATAGCAAAAGTGCCCCATAGCAAAAGTCTCTCAAAAATCAATCAATCAATAAATAAAATGGACTGTCATGAGGCTGTACATATATGTAACTGTATTAAAACACGTTGAATTGTACGCTTTGTGAAATACATCTCAATCAAGCTATTTTTAAAAGTTAAAAAGAGAAAAATGCTAATGAAAATGGGAGACATTTTTATCCATGGCAACAATATCATGGATATGTGGACACTGGCTAGGACTCAACTCAGCATTGTCTGGACATCCAGGAGGCCCATGGCCACTGTCGACCTGGAAGAGTCCCAGCGTCGACTGAAGCTCCAGAAGCCAGGTCCAGCTGCAACAGTGGGGTGGGAAGGTGGGAAGGAGTCCTGCCTGGCTCCTGCCGAGCAGTGAAATGGCTCGAGTTAATGCGCTTCCACTTACATACATTGATCGTTTACCTCCCTCTGTTCCTAGCGCTAGATCTATGAGCAAGAAGAAAGGAAAAAGGAGTTCAGGTTTAAACTCTTATCACTAAAGTGAGTCTCCCTCTACATTAAAAAACTATCCAGACTCTGTGGCAGGAATAGGCTCTGTTCTTGGGGCATAAATTTGTGTGTGTGGAAAAAAGACTTATTGGTGAATTTAGCAGTATTTTTCGTTGAACTGGCAGTTGCTAACCATTACACCAGTATTTATTTGATTCTTAAAGAGTACAAAACCATGGACCACAAATAAAGAAGATGGAGTAATAGTTTGTGGCTGGGCCACTAGCTTTAAACTTGAAATGAAGTGTCCAGTTTTGAGTTACTGTGTCCAACCACCATTTGTACAGTTTGAAAAGTGGGGGCATTTTTCCAGGCTGTCAGTGTGACTGTAGTTCATTCCCATGAATGATATCGCTGAAGGAGCAGTTGTTCTGCTGTGAGCACCTCACTCATGACCAGAATATATGAAATGTATTAATCTGTGCCTCCCGGCGTAATTTAGGAAGGCCCTCTATTTGACACATTCCTGTACATCCTTGTTTTATTGCTTGCTCCCGCAGGTAACAATGTCTCAAAAGTCTCGCTCCTGAATGAAGTTAAAATTACATGTCACCCAATAGCATATGCAGTTTTGTGGCTTATTTGGCTGTCAAAATTACCACCCTGCAACAACAAGAGACGTTAATGGGGACGTAGCATGATTTACCTCGCCGGCTCCGGGCCGGTGGCGAGGGAGGACTCCTGTATCCAAGCGCCACGTGCTAGTGGAAGCCGGGGAGCCTCCGCCCTTCTGCTCTGCCTTCAATGCCCAGACTATGCCTGGTGCAGAACGTGGCAGGTCTTTCCTGAGATGGAAATATGAGGTATTTAAAATAGTCGGTCAAAGACTCGCTGAGCTTGTTTTAAGTCGCTAGGGGAAAAATGTGTATTTCAAGCAGGTTGGCCTCTCACTAACAAACAGGATTTATCATGTTTTCCAGTCAGGCTGGAGACTATTGTCCGTTAAGAATGTGCCTAAGACTTAGTGCGGCAACGTCTGATTCTAAGGCTAATGGGAGCAACGTTGATTAACAATATTTTTCTACCTTGCCGAGTCATCTTTGCGATGTTGATGATCACAGGTAACGCAAAATGACCACAAAGCCAGGGCGTGCCTATGAATAAGGTGATGGATTACCCATCTGGGAAGAATATCAACTGTACTTTAAAACATCCTGGAACCCTGGACCAGTGGTTACATTAGGGTGTCCATGGATCCTGGATGCTTTTGCTTTAGGTGGCCCTTTTCTCCATTAAAAAAAAAATAGAAATTGTATTTTATGACTGCATTGATATCAGACAAATAGAATCTAGGCTGGATTCATTATTACTTAGTCATTAGTATTGTATTCATTTTTTTTCCTTTTAATTTTAAAGGAAATGAAAATGGAAACAAACCCATGGGCCCTGAGTGCCTTCACTGCCGGGTCCATCTGCCCTGGCTGAGGCTGTGGAATCTCAGCCTCCAACCTTGTTCTAGGGGTTTCTTTCTAGCCTAGCACAGTAAGGTAGTGGCAGCGTGTGGGGAGTTTAGATGAAGGGCATCCTGGTGCCCCACCTTGGCCCAGGGTGTTCCCCACACTTCCGCCATCGCTCTCCACCGAGAGCGAGATTGGACACATTCTCCTTCCCTGGCCTCCTCCCCCTCCTGTTTATTTGTCTTTATTTTAAATAAATAGGCCAGGGCTGCTGCTATGGATTTTCCGGTGCATTGGAGAACTGGGGAGAATTCATGATGCGGGAGCAGAACGCTCCACCTGCAGGCGTGGCTGGCTCCGATGACGGGCGAGGACGTTAATGATGGGCCACTGCAGCTGACCCCGACCTCATCGACCGCCGTGCCTCTCCCCGGCCGAGTGTCTGCAGTCCTGTCAGCTGCAGAGAAGTTTAAAGGGCAGCCATCGTCCCCGGCCACCCACCCTGCCATTAATAATGTTTTCATCTGTGACAGTGACAAACCTGCAGTACTTGTGGAGAGTTTATTAAGGTCAGTCTATAAATAAGAATTAAAATTTTTAAAAAATGGATTGACACAGATGAACAGACGGATGAATAACTTGATTGGACAAAACAATAAATATAAGAGTGGACAAGGAGCGCCAAGAGCCAGCCTGGAAATGAGAGACCGAGTCTGCACTTCCTGTGGCCTGGCCCCACATTCAGATTTCACGAAACCACTTTGGAACACGTACGTTTTGTGAATCTAGGCCCTGGTTAGTATTTTGTCATGTAATGCCGTTTTCTCAGCTGATAAAAAGAATTGCAGCCATTTCTCTATGTCAAGTCCATAACCGAGAGCTGGTAAAATTCAAATATCTCATCTCTCCTCGGACAGGCATTGGCCTTACCCTGAGGTTAGGCTCCAGGCCCGAGGGCAGGTGACAGGGTCCTGGTTTGTCTAATCAGCTCTTGCTGTCTTGGAATAGACTCCCTAAGCAAAATACACTCACTGGCCAGGGTGGGGTGCAAGCTAGAAGTGTATCCTCTGTGTCTTGCACCCTGGCTCGGAGGGTTGATTCTCTCCTGCAATTCACATGTCTTTGGGGCCTGGGTATAGACCTTCCCATTCCACTTTCTCAGCCATGTGACGCCTCCTATGCGGAGCCTTTCAACAATCATGAAGACCTTTAATTGTATATTTAAGGAACTGTCTTTAAAACTCTTTTGTGTGCTTTAGCTCATTTGGCCCTCACAAGAAGCCCAGGAGGGACTACAAGTTTAATTACCTCCATTTGGAAGATGTTCAGGGCACAGAGAGGTTAGACTAGCCTGAGGTCACTTAGTATACCGAAGTGAACCACTGTAGGGAGAGGAAAGTGGGAGAAAAAAGTGGTGGGAAGTCCAGGTGTTGCAAGAAAATAAGACTTAACTACATTCCCTCAGAATTCATACGTTGAAGGGAACCAGCAGTTAGCGTAATGGCTATGTTGCTGGACTCCCACGTAGTCGACCGTGGTTCGTGTCCCGGACCCGGTGGCTTAAAACTCACGCCGGGCGCGTGTGCGTGCGTGCCCAAGATCCCGAGAGGAGAATGGAGGAGAAGGGATTGCGGCGTGACCATCCCCCCTGGGGGGTGATTTCTCGCTTTCTTCTCTATGTCTCTCTCTGTCTGTCTGGCGAGCGCACGCGCCCTACAGTGAAAATCTCTCAAAAAAAAAAAAAAAATAAAAAGAATTCATACGTTGAAGACTTAACCACCAATCAGGGCCTGGAATGAGACTGTATTTGGAAAAATGGGCTTTAAAGAGGGGACCAGCAGATGAAATAATGGTTATGTCACTGGACTCCCACATGGCCGACTGATCGCGGTTTGAGTCCCAGACCCAGAGGCTTGATACACACTGGGCGTGTGTGTGCAAGCGTGCACAAAACCCTAAGAGGAGAATGGAGGAGAAGGGTTGTAGCGTGACCAACCCCCTGGAAGGTGATTTCTCACTTTTTGTCTCTCTCTGTCTCCCCAGAAAGCACATGTGCCCTCTAGCAAAAAATAATCTCTCTTTAAAAAAAAAAAAAAAAAAGTGAGTGAATTAAACTCAAGTCGTTAAGGTGGGCCCTAATCCAATCTGACCGGTGTTCTATCAGAAGACAAGATGAGGACACAGGCTTGTATTAGGTTGCTGGGAAACTTATGACATATTTTTCTGTGTTTTTCTATGCAAAAGTCTGTCATGACTTCCCCAACAACCCAATACAAAGGAAAGACCATGTACAGACACAGGGAGAAGTCAGTCATCCACAAGCTAAGGAGAGAGGCCCCAGAAAACTCCAGTCCTATGGCATCACCCTTCTTTTTCTTCTTCCTCTTCTTCCTCTTCCTCTTCTTTTTAAATGACCAAGGTGTGTGTGTGCTCACTAGAGAGAGAGACACAGAAAGACGGAGAGAGAACGCACCCTCTAGTGGGGCATGGGCATGCCGCAATTCTTTTTTCCCCTCCATTTCTCTATCCTGTCAGGATTTGGGACACACATGCACACATACCCAGTGTGTTTTTCAAGCTGCTGAGTCAGGGATTTGAACCATAGTCAACCATGTGGGACCTGGCACCCTTAACCACTGGGCAACAGGGCCGTCTCTGTTGCTTAGCTAGTATTCTATCCACCATGAATATCCATTAGCACAAAAGATCATTTATCTTCATGTCAGTGTTAGCCAAGAAGCATCACAGTGGTCCTGCAGGACTGTTAGGTCCTGAAGAAACTTCTGAATGATCACATCATTCGGTCTTGTCACACAGTCAACACTTCAATCCAAATAAAGGAATAAATGTCGCTAAGGGTGTCTCTTCTTTCAGAAAGGGCAGTTAGAATGAAGGAGTCATGGGAACCAGCAGTTAGCGTAATGGCTAAGTTGCTGGACTCCCACATCGTCTATCGAGGGTTGCGTCCCGGACCCGGTGGCTTAAAACTCACGCCGGGTATGTATGTGTGCATGCCCAAGATCCCGAGAGGAGAATGGAGGAGAAGGGATCGAGGTGTGACCATCCCCTCTGGGGGGTGATTTCTTGCTTTCTGTCTCTATGTCTCTGTCTGTCTGGCGAGCGCACGCGCCCAAAAAATTTTTAAAAAAAAAAAAAAAAAAAAAAAAAAAGAATGAAGGAGCCTGAAGGAGCCATGATAATTAAGCAGAATAACCAACAATAAGGAAGTAGGGAATAGACAGGGTGTTGAGGTCCCCTATATGTTCTGTCCTCTGCTAGTTCTCAGACTCTCAGAGGCCATGTTCTGTCTTCTGCTAGTCCAGACTTTCAAGCTGCAAAGTCACAGAGGGAGCTCTAAAAACCCCCACACAGAACCACAGACAAGAAAGATAGAAGACTTCAGAGCCCGGAGTCTAAAGGAGAGGATTCTGCCACTCAGTTCACTTTGGTAAATGTCTAGTGAGCACATCCTTTATGCCAGATCCTGGACCAGGAGCCCCAGAGTAGAGATGGGGTGAAGAGGCTCCAGTCCTAAGCTTTGGGTTGAGGACAGACAGTTGGCGACTGTGAGATGTACCATGAGAACTGTGTCACTAGTATAGACCCTGGTCTGCTGTGAAGACCTCTATTGGGAAGAAGGAATTCTAGAAAGGCTTCACAGAGATGTCCCACTGGAACTGAGTTTTTTTGGTTTTGTTTTGTTTTGTTTTGTTTTTGAGAGGTTTTCGCTATAGGATGCATGTGCTCGCCAGACAAACAGAGAGAGAGACAGAGAAACAGAAAGCAAGAAATCACACGCCAAGGGGGATGGTCATGCCGCAATCCCTTCTCCTCCATTCTCCTCTCGGGATCTTGGGCACACACGCACATGTGCCCAACATAAGTTTTAAGCCACCGGGTCCGGGACTCAAACCACAGTCAACTTACATGGGAGTCCAGCGACATAGCCATTACGCTAACTACTGGTCCCTGGAACTGAGTTTTGAATGATAATTAGGAAAATTGGGGGGGAAAGGACATACCGAGTGCTTTTGGCTGAACTATGCCTTCTAACACTTCATACGTTAAAGCCTTAATCCCCAACCAGTACCTGGAGTGAAACTGTATTTAAAAATATGGACTTTAAAGAGGTGACTTAGTTAAACTGAGGTCATTATAGTGGGCCCTAATCCAATCTGACAAGTGGTTCGAGTCCTGGACCTGGTCACTTCCTTTCTCACTTTCTGTTTCTCTCTCTCGCTGGTCAAATTAAAAATAAATAAATAGATAAATGAATAAATAAATAATTAAAAATTAAGAGGAGATGTGAGCATAAATATGTGCAAAGGAAAGACCATGTGAAGACAAGGGAGAAGTCAGCCAAGGAGAGAGGCCTCAGAAGACACCGAGCCTACCAGCACCATTTATTCAGTCATTGCTAGAGGCGCGTGGGCTTGCCAGAGAGAGAGAAAGCATGCACCTCCTCATGGGGCATGGTATGCCTCAATCCTTTTTCCTCCATTTCTTCTTCCCATCAGGATCTTGGGAACATATGTGCCCAACATTTTTTTTTTTTTTTTAGGTTTTTGCCTTAGGGCACATTGATCACCAGAGAGAGATGAAGACAGTGAAAGGGAAAGTGAGAAATCACCCCCTGGGGAGATGGCTACACCACAATCCCTTCTCTTCCATTCTCCTCTCAGGATTTTGAGCATGCACGCACACACCAGGCATGAGTTTCAAGCCACTGGTTCCATCTCTCAAACCGTGACTGGCCATGTGGGAGGTTAGCAATGTAACTGCTATGCCATCTCTTACCCACCACTCCCACCCCAGCATGTTTTTCAAGCTTCTGGGTCAGAAGTCAAACCTCGTTGAAGCCCTACAACCTCTAAGCACCCAGGACCCCTTCCACAGCTCACCACAGCCCCCCTCTGTGGAGCCAGAACTCACCACAGTCCCACTTACCTCAGGGTGTTGTAGGTTCTCTTTTCATTCCCTCCCTGAATCCCAGGTGGGTTCCAGCTTCCAGCACACAACACATAACCAATGCACTATGGGGCCACCCTGTGGGCACCTTGATCTCAGACTTCTGGTCTCCAGGATTGTGAGAAAAGAAATTTCTGTTGTTTAGGTCACCCACTTAGTCTGTGATTATTTGGTACAGTGGTAAACTTATAGTAAACTTACATACCAAGGAAACAAAGAGTTCTAGCAAAGTTCTGGAAGCATGAATGTGCGTGAACGTTGAGAGAACTGAGATATACTTCGCAGAGGCAGAGTGGCCAGATGGGTACACTGTGTGTGCACTGGCGGCTACTGGCTCCCAGAGTCCTCACCTTACCATAATTGGTCACCCTCATGGCAATCCAGTGGTGGCTTTCCTGGGCATACTTTGCTCGACTCCTGGTTCCCAGAGGAAGTTGAACATTTACATTCTCTGCTTTGCTTTAGTGCAGGCTTAAAAGCAGATCCCAGGGTCAGCCGGTGGCATGGTAGTTAAAGCAGCTGGATCCTACATGGCTGACCATGTAGTTTGAGTCCTGGACCCAGTGGCTTGAAAAACATGTCACGTGCATATGCGTGCATG